ATAAACTCTTGTAAGACCTATGAAGCCTACACAGCCGGTCTAACACCCCCCAAAAAAACAAAAGCACACCCCTAAACCATAAACCCTAAACTCCTAAACCCTAAACTCCTAAACCCTAAGCTCCTAAACCCTAAACCCTAAACCCCTCTTTTTATCCTATGCTTGAGGGCTTTGGGCAGCAGAGTTTTGACTTGGAGCTTCAGCCAGCCTACAGCAGCAGGGTTTAGGGTCTAGGGTTTAAGGTTTAGGGTTTAGGGTTTAAGGTTTAGGGTTTAGGGTTTGGGGCTTAGGGTTTAAGGTTTTGGGGTTTTGGGTTTAAGGTGTTTTGGGTTCAAGGTTTAGGGCTTGGGGTTGAGGGTTTAAGAGTGAGGGTTTCGGGCTTAGAGTTTGCACGGAATTGAGGAATATATCCCTACAGTACTCTATCTACAGGGGCGTTTTCCAAAAAAGAGGCCCCGGTACAGAAACCAACATGCTCGTATCCTTATCACAGGCACCCCCAGAAAGGACCCTCATTTCTGTAAACCTTCATCCACTCTATGAATAATCTCCATTTGATTTCTTATTTTCTTCGGCATTTTGATTCTCCGTTCTCGTATCCCTACATATTTTATATCCGTATTTCCAAGCTCTCATACAGTCACTTATGCTGCTCCTTACAATCCAGCCCGGCTTTCTCTAGGGGAGGCGCTGCTTGTAAGTTTTTTAGCAGGGATGCACTGGGATTACAAGGGGTTGAAAAGGATCCTCCCTGAATCTATGCTGAGAAAAGTTAGGAAAAGTTGCCTTTCCCAAAGAAAACAGGGAATCCCCTATAGCCTCCCTTGAAACAAGGCACCCCTTGTCGGGACCCATGCTAGTTTGCGTCAGTGTACTCTCGGGACCCCAGATTTTCAAAAAAACCTTCAGAAATAATGCAGTACTTTCCATTTTCGTATCCATTATTCCTGAAATCTATATTTTGGTAGTTTCTCAAAGTAGTGAACCACAATCTAGACCCCAATCTATTACAATCCTTATCATGCCACCCCCCAAAACGTTACCCCTAATTCTGGGAAACCCTAAGCCCCCGTCCCTAATCCCTCAACCCTATATACCCCTATATATAAACCCTTATATCCCTTCTAAAGGGGCTCATTTTTGTGAAGCCCCATATGTTCCCCTCGGCAAGGTCCACTATTCAGGACCTTGGCACCAAAGCCCCGGGCCGCGAGGTGCAAGACAGTAATTTCAGGGCCAAAGGAGTTCAGGGTATCTAGGGAGTTCGGGGTAGTTAGGATAGATATATGTATATATATATAGGGTTTTTAGGATATTTGGAGTATTTAGGGTATCTAGGGTTTAGGCAGAGCTTGGCTCTCGAGGGTTTCCATGGATTGCGTAGGGCTGATATGGGGATCACCACCGCGGCAACTACAGAGCCATCATCTAAACTCCTCTAAAGGAGTTTATGGTGTTCCTATTCTAGGACTTCTAAAGGGGGATACTAGGAGATTAGACTATAGCTCACATGGAGCCCAGGGAGAGACCCCTTGCAGGGATAGCAGTCTTTGCAGGGTACTTCCTGTGAAGTTTTATGTTGGTCAGGGCGATCCATTCCTTGGATCCAGCCTGGCTCCAGATCCAGCAAGAAACAATGATGTCAGTCACTAGGGAGGGAGAGTATACATCTAACATAGGATCCGTAAGATTCCCTGCTAGGAACTTATCTTACGATAAAAGCACATTCACACAAACTGCCCAGATGACGGCTGCCATCGCTGCCCTGGTGGAGTCCAGCAAGAAGCCTGAGGTGGGTTCCAAAGGTGTATGTAGGGGCAAAATTATACTCATATAGGGATGATGGAAAATAGAATGGAAACTACTATAATGGTGTTATATATGGGGGGATAATGGAAAATAGAATGGAAACCACTAAAGTATACTGCAGCATCGTACATTTCGTAGTCAGCTGGTTGTAGCTGCGAATTGTCAATATGGGCTTGCAGCTACTGCACATGTCAGTTTTGAAGTTCTCTTCGTGCTGTTCATTGATGCGCCGTGTGTTTACCCTAAACCCTAAACCCTGTGTATTATGGGCTTTCCCAACATTTCCCCCGCAGAACTCTCACTAGGGGCTCCCACAGTCCGCATAACCTCTGTGTAATCACTGCATCTTTCTGAGATTCCTAGGGCTTCTCATTTTGAGGAACCCCCAACCTTGAACCCTGAAACGCCATACCTGGTATGAAACGTTTTGCAGCTTGAGCCACCAATTACCACCAGGTATAACCAGTGAGGATTGAGGATTTACGGTTTAGGTATATCTGCCATCAAACGGAACAACATTTGGAACCCCCCGCTCAGGTGGGTATATGCAGAAGCTAGGATCCTGCGTGTGACTGATGGTGGTAAGAAGAGTGGATGCCACACAATGAGCTACACAATGAGCTAGCAGCTCCCGATTTTCTTGTCAGTGGCTTAGGGTTTAGGGCAGTAGCTTCCATCTTTTTTCGTGGCAGTAATCCACGAAGCCTTGTGTACCCCACATTTTCCCTTTAATATCTAACCCCGGTACAAATTCCCATACACCCCTTTCTGCAAAGCCTAAACCCTAACCCTAAAAATGGGTCATAAGCTGCATGCACCCCATACTGCCTTATGTATATTCATATAACCAGTATAAAAGCCCTTTATGAAAAGCCCCAAACCCTAAGCCCTAAAATGGGTTATCATCCTAAACCCTAAACCCTAAAAATGGGCTAGAGTAATCCTGAACCTCCGAGCAGGTGGATGGCTACGAGTTCCAATCCAAAGGCTGGGGCTTGCTGGGTGTTGGGTTTGGAGTTTATAAGGTTGATAAGGGTTTATAGGGTTGATAGGGTTTATAGGCTTCATAGGGTTGATAGGGTTTACACGGTTTATAGGGTTTATAGGGTTGATGGGGTTTATTATAGGGTTGATAGGGTTGATGGGTTTATAGGGTTTAAAGGGTTGATAGGGTTTACTTTGCAGGGGTCAAAGGGCTTAGGAATTCTAAGATTTTCAGGTTCAGGTTTGAAAGGTGTAAAATTTAGGGTAGGGTAGCCCCTAAGTAGGAGGATCAGAGAGGCTCTACCCGCAAGAGCTACAGACTACAGCTGAGCAGCAAGGCAGACAAGGATATGCTCTAAATCCTACACCCTAAACCTTGCACCCTGGCACCACGGCCTAGGGATGTAGCAACGGGTTGATGACCCTCCACTTGGAGGTTCAGGGTAAGTATAGCTCTATCATGGAGAGTCGCATGGAACATCAAACATGAAAATGAGATGAACACCGAGATTCTAGGGTATGTGTACATAAACGGAGTACGGGCTTAGTGACTGGAACCCACATATAACTGGTTCTCATTTCTCATAACCTGCCTTTAAATGAATGGGGCAGCACCCAACGAATGTAGCTCACTTGTCAAGGCCGGAGCGGTTTCTGAAGACTGAACCTCACAAATGGAACCTTAATACTACTACTCTTATTGCTATTATCCTGGCTTTTATCCTGTATTCGTGCCGCTACTGTCGCACGTCTTTGTCGTCGCTGTACGGACAACTCCTTGGATCGATGGAGGCATTGTCGAGATGCTAAAGGAGTTGGAGGACAAGTTCATCCAAGAGAAGGCCGCACTAAATAGGGTTTATGGTCTAGGGTTCTCCAAAGCATGGGTCCGTAGTTGTCGGAGTTCTAAGACTCAGGACGCCGGTTGTCTCGGAGTCTAAAGCGGATCCCGCTTGTGATTTGTGATGAGGACCGAGGTAATGTGTTGCAGGATGTTGCAGGGACTGTTTGCTTGTTCTGGATTGCTGTTGAGGAACTTAGTGTAAATTACCATCATATCGGTATATAATAGTAAACACTGGGGGTTCCTTGTTATGGTAACTTAATTTATGTTCCTTAACAGCAACCCAGTGTTTTGCTGGATTTTGGGAGGGCCCTGGTATGCAGCAACCGTTTCTTGCAAAGCTTTTGCATGATCATCGTTGCTTTGGCCATCAGACTTACGACCTATCATTATGATCATGGTTGCCATTACCTTCCCTTAGCTGTAATGTCTACTTTTTGCTTGGACAGAATATCTTTTCCCTTGTTGCTCAATTTCATTGGAGGCGCCAGAGAACTTGCAGTGCACGCGAGCTTCATGACAATCTTACTCGCTTGTTGCCCTAAGCCCTAAACCTTAACCTTATTGTTGTCATAGGAAGTTGATTTGTTTCCGCTACCCAGCTGACTCACATATGCGATCCAATCAGCCAGGCTGTACGAACCAGTATTGAAGCGCCTGCTTGATGTTAAGAAGCACCCCTAAACCCCTCAACCCCTCAACCCCTAAACCCCTAAACCCGTAAAGCCTGAGCCCTAACAAGGCAGACTTGGAGAAGGCGGAGTTCGAGAAGAAGGCTGCCTACGAGACCACCTTGGCTGGTCGAACGCCCCAGTAGGGCTACATAGGGCCGGTCTAGGGTTGTAGGGAACAAGGGCCTATTATTAGGGATTTTATGGGGATTTTGGTTCCCAGTAGGGAATAAGGGTCTACATTAGGGCTCAGGTTTAGGGCTTAGGGCTTGGGGTTTAGGGTAGGTGATCATGTTGGGTTCATTGGGAGCTGTTGAGGCTCAGGGGTTCAGTGTGGGATCCCCCTAGGACCTAGGATTCTTGCTTTTTTCACAGATATAAACCCTTCATAGTAGCTTCCATTTTCTTTTCCTTCCCTCTAAACCCGCTCCCAATATTATCCTTATATAGTCCCCTATGTATATCCTCCATTCGCCTCTTCCTGTTGACTTGGGCAACTGCGTGAAAGTTTTTTTCCCCGTGTGAAAGGCCGGACTTAGTACTAGTAATATTGGTAGTAGTAATAGTCGTATTCATCATAGGGGGCTTTTGGTAAACTTACGGGGGAATCTTTTTGGGGTCCCCATGATAAGGGTTATACGTCCCCGTAATAATGTTTATAGCGCAAGCAACAGTGATGCGGAGTGTGCTGAACGGCTGAGGCCTCAAGAACGAGCAGGCAGCTGAGCAGAAGGTGCGCTAGCAGTTGTAGCCATAGTGATCATAGTAGTACTCATAGTAATAGTAATAAGAACATTTGGAATATTGGTAACAATAGTAATGGTAGTAGTAATCATAGTAACAGTAATAAGAATATTAGGAATATTCGTGCTACTAGTTAGGGTTTAGGGTATAGGGTTACATTAGACGGACCCCCCACCCAGTACCAGCGACTACGAGGGGTGATAATGATTATATTAGGGTCCTCTGAAATTCCAATTATACCACCATAAGCGGTTGTTCCTATTCTCAGATGCTCTGCCTAAGACCTGAATACGCGAGCATATCTTGCAGGACTTTGACAAGAAGAGTGCCCTCAAGAACAAGAAGCTGCAGCAGAAGGCAACTCGCCCATCTCCGCTGTAACTGAAAGTGGTGCCCGGCTCCCTCCTTGAAGCTTTGTTACTCCCTTCGTCGGTTTCATCCTGTGAAGTCAGTTGCTTGCTAGTAGCTGCTGTTCGAATGGACTTGCAGTGATGCTGAAGATAGAAGGTGGTAGCACAGCGATGTGGCGATGCGGCCTTGCAGATATCAAGCACAGCCGACACGACGCACAAAAAGTACGAGTTCCGAAGGGCCGATCATTCTGCCAAACTCAGTCTTTATTGTTGGGTAGATGGCTCTTGTCATCAGCAAATGCTCTCCCTGTGAAGTTAACACACGGCAGAATGATAGGAATCTTTAATCCCAGGGAAGAATGGCAGTTTTATCTTGCATGGTTTGTCCGTGTTCTGACTCCCTCAACTTCTCATTCCGCGATGCTAAACTAGATCCCTCTCCCCTGAGGCCTAAACAATCAATCTAACCTACACGGTTCAAACCTTGGACATTCAACCTTTGGGGTTATTTGAGCTATAGTCTAAACTCCTTAAAGGTGGTTATATAGGGGGTTATATAGGGGACTACTATAGGGCTTATCAAGGGGGATACTAGGAGTTTAGACAGTAGCTCATTTTGAGGTTTATACATATGTAAATAATGTGGGTCATGCAGGGATTAGCTGAGGATCGCGCAGGGCTTAGTCTGACATGAGTTATCCCATATAGACCCTAAACTTCACACGCAAAAGCCTAAACCTCAAACCCCAAACCCTCAACCCTAAACCCTGAATCCTAAACCCTAAACCTCAAACCCTACACCCTAAACCCTTAGACTACCCATTTACTGAAGCCGATGTTCTGACGAAGGCAGAGCTTGGAACCAATCTCGAGACCAGTCAGGCCACGAAGGCCGCAGATGAGTAGGGGCCCAAGCTGAAGGTTCAGGGTTTAGGGTTTGGGTTTTAGGGTTTAGGGTTTGAGTTTTGGGATTTAGGTTTTTGGGCTAGGTTTTGGGGTTTAAATTTTAGGGTTGAGGGTTTAAGTTTTGAGGTTTAGGGTTAAGTTTTGAGGTTTAGGGCTGAGGGTTTAGAGGCTCCAGCCTGGGGTGCGGCCCTCATCACAGAGAGAGGAGGGGCGGGGGCGACCATTGGTATTTTTCCCCGTCATTACATGCGGTACTCTTTCAATGATATATTTCTCATGGTCATGGTTTTAGCCAGAGTGCTGATGATGTCTTTGGGATGAAGCTAAACACTATTACTATTACTATTACTACTACTATTACTATTACTATTACTATTACCATTACTGTTACTGTTACTGTTACTGTTAGGATGAAGAAGACAACTTGCAATTGCTCGTGTTGGCTTGCAAGTTCCGTGGTTGCTCAGGAAGTATCTCCAAGACATCACTGGAACTTGCACGCAGAAGGCCTTGGCGGGTGGCTTTCTTTGATGTCGTTTAGCAATATGGCGGCTTGATTTCTTCACGATCCCAGCAGCAAGCGTCATGAAGGGTTGATTGCAGCCCGCAATAACCTCACATAGAACTCTTGTCCACGAGCCCAGAAGCAAGCGTCACAACGTTTGATTGTAGTCTGCATTAACCTGAGATGGGAAAAGTTTGGCGCTTGAGTATTCCGGCCTGTGCCTCAGTGAAGGCCACCGACTATGCTTCGCGACAGAAGCTCCGATCTGAGGCAGCGGAACACCCGGCAACATGGATTTACTGCGATGCAAGATCGGGCTTGTGTAGCTTATTCTTGGCTCGTGGTTAGCAAGTCCACCGGACTCCAATGGCAAGATGAGTGTCTGCAAATGTTTTGGATTGTCTTAGGTACTTGTCATCTCTCGATCAAAGTAGTTTCCATTTTATTTTCCATTATCTCAATATAACCCCAATATAACCCTAATATAACCCTCATATAACCACAATATAACCCCCATATTATCCCAATATAACCCCTAGCTCAATGGCAGGAGCTCGAAGCCGTGAACAAGGCACACCTCCCGCAAATTTGAATCATTGCGTGCTGCCGTCGTTGACGGTCTGTCAGGGCAGGCTTCAACCATGGTATCCTGCCACAAGCATCCTGCATGCTCTGCTGGCTGAACCAGAAACCCAAACCTTGGAATTGTATTTGGTGGGTTACTCAATACCAGGGATACTTTTTTTGGGGGTCCCTATAAGAAGGATTACATTTTTTTTGTGGTCTATGTTGGGGTGCCCTTATTTAGAGAAACTACCGTTACATGTATATATACACGTATGTAACCTCTTTAATCCTTCTAGCCCCTTATAGTCATGTATATCCCTAAATTAATACAACTTCCATACGTATCTATCTATATTATAGATATAAAGCCCGTTCAACTCTCATAATCCCTTTTGAGAAGGCTATTGAAGTCATTGGTGGCCAAGCCGTGGCAGGGCTGGCCTGACGTGTTTGCTGCGGTTGAGGGCTTCAGGGCTTAAGGAATTTATGGGTTTCGGGTTTTCGGGGTTAGGAATTTAGGGGGTTAGGATTTTAGGGGGTTAGGGGTTTAGGGATTTAGGGGGTTACGGCTTAGGGCTTAGGGATTTCGGGGTTTAAAGTTTAGGGGTACAGGGCTTGGGGATCTGATCCTGCAGAATCAATGAAAGCAGTCCCTGCTCATACATCACGTAAATGTATATGTGAACATGACTCGCCTTACAAATTAATTACAGACACGCCTTCATAATGCTGAAACACACCAAAACCGCAAAAGCCTTATAAACCCTATTAACCCATGTTAACCCCGTACAGTACACACGAAAAAAGCATATAACCCCATTAACCCTGAGAGCCATATAAACACTATAACGCCTTGTAAAACCTATTTAGTAAGCCCAAAGCTCAGAATTACATAGTACTTTCCATTTTCATTTCTCACTCCGTATAATCCCCAGATTCCAGCATATAACTCTAGATCCTTGGCCTTAAAACCCTAAACCCTAGTTCCTAAATCCGCATATTCTGATCCTCATCGGCACGGGCCAGGAACGAGCAGAAACATCTGGCAAAGAGCTTCGCGCAGGTGGTTGATAAGTTCTAGGGTTTAGGGTTAGGGTAAAGGGTTTACGGTTTAGGGTAAAGGGTTTAGGGTTTGGGTGTAGGGTAAGGAGTTTAGGGTTTGGGTTTAGGGTTTAAGGTTTGGGGTGATAGGAAGACAGATACGGGGATTTTAAGGGGATCACAAGGGATATAGAGTGATTATGAGAGGATGCCTGGGATTGCAGGGATTAGGATTATGAGAGAATAGCACTGACAGGGTTTGTCTAGTGTATATAGGAGTTGTATATATATATATATGTACATATATGGATGTGTTGTGTAGAAATTTTGTAGGTGATCTACACATATATATATATATATGTATATGTGCGTGTCTGCAGGTTATACAGGGTTATTTACGGATTTATATGGTTTTGCAAGTTTTATACGGGGTTATCTAGGGCTGATGGGTGTTGAGACTAGGAATTCGGGGTTAGGTTTAAGGTTAAGAGTTTAGAAGGCATGTCTCAGAACTAGACTTACATCATATAGATTAGAATCCCCCTTAGGTAGATAGAATCTGGCTTCAGGTATATGATAACAAGACCCCCCCATGTACCCCATATTCTATGTACTTCAGGGGGACCATAGGGCTGCTGGTCTGGGGTTTGGCTTGAAGCTGAAATTCTTTCAAAAGCTTGGAGGTCTATTTAATAATAGTAATAAACATAAAACCCCAATATATACCTTATTATAATATAGTGGTTTCCATTTTCTTTTCCATTATCCCCTATGTAACCCCCTTTGAGGAATTTAGACTGCAGGGATGTAGGAGCATTTCTCAAGACGAGGTTTGTTTCTATAGGTTCTACCTATCTCTGCCCCCGCAACATGACATGATCTCCAAATTCTCGAGTCCTTGTTAAATGGATTCCCGAAGGGAACCCATGCCATAGTTTTAAGAACCTCCCGAATGACCGGCGGTCATGATACAAGGTTTGACACGCGAGTTGCACGTGGCAACGGGGACTGTAAGTGCAAGCTGTTTGAAGGTGCCATTGAATGGTCTTACTGGTGGTTCATAAGGGAATAAAATCCCTATCCCATCCTTATTTAACATTTTCTGTATTCCCCACCAACCCCCAGCAAGTAACTGGCATGTGTGCTTGTGAAACAACTTGCCCAGATCTCCGGCACATCCCTGGCCGCGCTGCGAGCAAGTGACGCGCGCCGCACCCAGGCAGCGATCAAGGCACACACGGGTAGGGCTGACCACCTTTGGTACAGATTGGGGCTTATCATACATGTGTATATACATATAGGGTATAATAAAAGAGAAAACGGAAACTAGTATAGTATATGGGGATTATACAAGGACATTATACTTTTTGGGGTGAGTACGGAATAAGGGAATATACATTCTATAGGGATTGTGTAGGGATTATGTTCCCTTATTCCCCAAGTCGGGACAGATTGTTTGTATAATTTAGCCGTGAGAACATGAAAACAGGCATGTCGTTTCTTGACGGGATGTACCCCCGACCTGGATTCAACAAAAGCCACGCCTCTGTGCAGGAGAAGGTTGTCGCCTTCCTCCAGAGTGAGGTGCGAAATTGCCCAAATACACCTTGTTTGGAGAGGTGCCAAAGAGATACCCTGCAAGCCCTCAAATCCCAAAAGAATGGTGATGATTTGGCACACCTCATGTCCTATGATCCTGTCATGCGGGAAGAGGCCTTTCTAAAGTATTTGCGGTGTTTCAAATCGTACGGTCACGAAGGTTTGTTGTGTTCTCGGTGCAGGGAGCCTCCTAGCCAGAGAAACATTCGTTTGTGGAAGTGGGATGAAGCATGTGGCAGTGATGGGTTCACGCATGTTGAAAGCTATTCGCAGGATTAAAAGACCAGCGCCCCATGTTATTATATCAGTACTTGCTACCCTGCACATGACCATCAATGATTCTCGATATGTTTCTGGGGGGCTTTACATATTTTATTGGGCCTGCGAAGGCTAATGACCTAGCTTTTCTGGTTGCTGCCGATTCCTATATATGTCACTAGATCACGCCTATAATCCCTTTCGGCCAGACCCCCCCGTGTCCAAACCCGCTCCCCTCATATGTGTCGCAATCTTTTGGTTTTCAGGCCTCTTGTTTGAAAATAGGCTACAACGGATTTCAAATGTTATTGCATCTTCATGTTTTCGATGCTCCTCCATCCTAAAAAGTCGCATATACAACCCTGACTAGGGTTTTGAGATTACTGCAACTGCAATATTGGGGGAGTGTCCTAGGGCAGTGGGGCCAATATATGTAATCCACATTTCGTGTTCTGCATTACAGTTGGTCGGGCCTTATCGTTTATTTCAAAAAATTCCAGCGCCATGGGATCCTTGTTCAGGGCTCTTACGCACATTGAACCCCAAACCCTAAGCCCAAAGCCTAAGCCCTAAACCCTGAGCCCTGAAACTTTAATGGATCCAGGTCCTAGCATCCAGCAAGCACCATAAACCTTGAGCTTAGCCTAAACCCTAGACCCCAACCCTAAACGCTAGCTCGCGAAAAGTGTGGTGTAGGGTTTACGGTTTTATATAGGGACTTATGGGAAAGGGGTTTTCCCATACCAACCACAGTTTCCATTTCCTTTTCCATTTGAGGCTCCTTTGTTTGTTGGATGATATTCCGATATAGCCCCATGTAATCACTCATGAACACCTTGCATTGTCCCCTGTCTAATCCCACACCCGAAGCCCCCAACCCTTAATCTTGATTAACAACTTCCCTTATTAGTAGAACATCCCTGTTTAAATTGTAGAACCTCTATTAAAGCCGCAGATCATCCCTATAACTGTAGAAGCCTTTTAAAGCCCCATACAACCCCCATCCAATGCCAGGCTAACCGCCTCGAGAGCGCGACTCTGGCGAACCTGGTCCCATCCCTGGGCTTCCGCATAAGGTTGTTAGGGGGTTTTAGTGTGAAAATGAGCTGTAGTCCTAATTTTTTGAAAGGGTGTTTATTCAGGGGAGTATGGTAGGGGTTATGAAGGGGGATAGTAGGACTTTAGACTACATCTCAAATGGGTTTTAGTGCTGAAATGGGTTTAGGAGTTAGGGTTCAGGGCTCAGGGTTTAGGGTTTAGGATTCAGGGTTTAGGGTTTAGGCTTCAGGGTCTCAAGAGGGCGGCCCCGCTGTGTCTGGTCCTACAGAAACGAGATTTTTTGGGCTTTGTACGAAGAAAGCAGCAGCCGCAAGCAGCCTCTGTTACACGCTGCTCCTGCTCACAGTCAGTCCCTCTCCAGCACATACATCATGGTCAAAGACTGCAGGAAACTGTGCATGAACTCCTGATCCGAATCAGTGGATACTTCACCCACAAGACATGAGCCATTAGCTCTCGACGCACGTAGCCAGCGGTTTTGGCAGGCTGAGATACGACAAAGCCAGCGAACGATGTGCAAAGGAGTGAAATGCGGAGCGCAACAACATCTAGTAAAGCAACTGCGCACCCCCTAGGAACGCACCTCAACGTCAAGAAACCCATGAAGGGTGGAAGCCAGAAAAACATGAAAAAACACAGCCAGCAATACGTAGTTATTGTTGTCCTCGTAGCCGCAGTGAGACCAGGCATGAGAATCTGGCCATGAACGAGCAGCTGTAAACAACATGACCAGAACAATACGAAAACCTCAGCCCCACACCCGAGACCCTGGACCCCAAAACCTGAACATTATTCCCCACACCCTGCCATGTAAACCCAAACTCCTCAATCCCAAGCCCAAACTCCTGAAGCTGAAGCCCCAAGCCCCAAACCTTATATACCACTATACAACCTCAGCTTCCATGCTGTTGTCCGTTTTCATTTCCCGCTGATCCTCCCATTTTTTGCTGGTAATATCATCGTAAAATCCCATATGACCCCCTATATACACCCTATGTAACCCCTATATAAACCTACACCCTAGACCCCTAAATCCCTAAACCCTAGTAGCACGGACGGTTTCTGGTTCCTTTGCTGGAACTTGCTCAGGTGGCGCCAACAGAGGAGTCCTCATCCTTGGGAGGCGTTGAGGACATGGTGCAGGACCTCTGGGCATACTGTTGATAATAAAAATCCTGCAATAGTGCCATTATTCCCAAGTTATAAGGTACCTAGGGTCATGCAGGATTTTTAGTATCCACCGTACCAAGGCACACAGCGGATTTCCAGGTCGAACTTTCATTCATCACGTGTAAGGAAGAACCTGCAGCTTTCAAACTGCCGGGATGGACGACCTGCATTCAAAAAACAATGTGGAGCGGAAGAAGATCCCTCAGTGGTTGCAACAGAGGCAGTGGATGGAGTTCGTCTAATTTCTGCTCCTCTTCAGCCTTTCACGAGTTCTAACTCCTAAACCCCCTATATCCTCACATAACCTCGATATAATCCCTACATAACCCGATATAATCCTCATATATCCCTATATAACCTCTATAAACCGCATATACTACGTACTTCTTAGATTTTGTCACCTTTGGCTTTCCCAAAGCCTTAACCCTAAGCCCTAAACTCTATGCTTCTGTGGCTTTGAGCTTCGTTGGCGAGCGCAGGAGCTCATCGCCAAGCTGGAGAAGCAGGCAGCTGAGGCCAAGACCAAGCAAGGCGAGGGAGGGGATTTTTGAAAATGTACAGTCTTCATGGAGGGTTCAGGGGTTTCAGGGTTTAGGGGTTTCAGGGTTTAGGGGTTTCAGGGTTTAGGGTTAGGGTTTGGGCAGGGTTTTGGGCAGAGCATTGTGCAGGTTTTGTGTTTTGTGTTTTGGCCATTTACAATATCCATTTATGTTGGGCTTGAGGTTTTGGGGTTTAGGGCCACTTACTATCTACAACCTACCTGTCTGTCTGTCTGTCTGTCTATCTGTTTACCTATACATATGTATATACACATGTATGCATATGTCATGTATATATACATGTGCACAAATGACACATGTCGCATATAGATGTATACGCACGCATGCAAATGTATATGTAAATGTATGTATGTATATATGTATATGCATGTACGCACATATACATACCTACATACATGATATCGTGTGACCTAATGAAATCATGTTTCATTGTATACCATCTATGAAAACGAGATACATGCATATACATATGTATGTACTTGTAAAACCAAGCCATCTCTTCAGGTTCCAAACCCTTTCCCGCTTCAGATTCGGGAAAGGATTTTGAATTGGAAGGCAGCCTGCCATTGCATCCGAGCATTTTTGATGGCATGATGAGGTTCCGTCCACTTCATCTTTCACTACCTGTTTGCATATTCCTGGACTTCCTTTCCAGCGCGCTGTCCTGTCAAGAATGTGGAGTGAAGATTCTGGTTATGATCGATGTGATGTGGAGTTTTGTCCTTGACCTTTGAGGTTTGATTGGGTTGAAGGCATAAGCATCTGCGGTGAATGCAGGGCCTCGTTTCCGGTTCCCGGAGTTGATTTCAAGAACAAAGGCGATGTCAGCGACATGCACATGTCAGCCTGCAACTTCACCACACCCCGCAGGCAGAATGCACTAAAACAGGAGTTTCCGCGCTTTAGGGGTTTAGGGTTTAAAAAGGGGCCCCTCAACCATTGAAAGCTCCCACTTGGCTTCAGAAAGCCACCCCAAGTGCCACACGGCAGAACTCTGCGATAGCGAGCTCAAGAAGAACGCGAACAAGCGCAAAGCCCATGGCCTGGAACGTGTTAGCCGATTCCTTTGCTTTAGGGTTCTGTAGTTGAGGGTGTCTTGGTAAGAGGGTGTGTGAGAAGGTAGGATATTTAGGTAGTGAGATATAGGAGTACTGGCCTTGAAGCGCGTAGGGAACACTGTCGCTATGGCCGGGTGAGTAATTCAAGTCCCTCGTGGTTGCTAGCATGGAGTGCAACAGGATTTCATAATACAGCTGCCCAGGCCTAGCAAGCTTGCCAGGTTTAGAGTTGGGGATGGCAGTCGGGCAAGAGAGAAGAGGCAAGACAGACAAGATCACATCAAGCATGATCATGGCTATCAAAACACCAGGCCACTACGCACATAAAGGACAGCTGCAGTGGCCATGCAAGATGATCATCGTAGAAGTAGCAGAAGCAGTGGCAGCAGCAGCAGCAGCAGCAGCAGCAGCGGCCGTCGACTATTTTGTAGACAACATGTTTGCTTGATCAAAGCTGTTTGTGTGTTCATCTCGTCATTCTTTCGACGCTTACCATTTTCATTGCCGTGTTTCAATTTCATCTGTTTGATTCAGCCACTTGTAATGTTCATCAAGATGTCTTAATTAAGCCGCGCCAGTGCTTGCAAGGCGTTCTCATCCAAATACTCCAGAAAACCGCATTATGTCGATTCTTGATTTCTGAATCACATTTATGAAAATAAAATTTGCAACCCTTGTTTTGACTCTTGCAACAATATTGCCATGAATATTCTTTGAGAAATATCTGCCAGAATCAATGCGGCATCCTTGAAATCATCCATCAACTGTACAACATTTCATCCACCCTAAACCCTAAACCCTAAACCCTAAACCCTAAACCGCAATCGCAGAAAAGCTGCCTGAAACTTAGGAGAAGGAGGCCGATGCCGATCAGATTGAAGCAGACATCGAGAAGCTGCAGGCGGCTCCAAGCTAATTATATAGGGATAATGGAAAAGAAAATGGAAACCCTAGGTCCCTTTAAAGGGATATATAGGGTATATACCTACTATAATGGAGAATCAAATGGAAAAGAAAATGGAAAATGAAATGGAAACTGGGATTAGAGGGTGACACCGAAGCTTGGGAGATGTGGGTTGAGGGGTATAGGGGGTTTAAGGGGAGTATATTGGGGTAATATAGGGATAATGGAAAAGAAAATGGAAACTACTATAATGGGGTTATATAGGGTTTAGGTTTAGGGTTTAACTTGAATAAGGGGTATAGGCTAGGTGGACCTGTAATAGTGGCTATAAGGAATAATAAGGATTATATTAGGGTCCTCGTAGATGTGGGTTTCCCAACAGATAGTAGTCTCTTCAAAAGCGGGATATAGGGGTTATATGAGCTATGTAGGGTTGTTTTGGAATATATGATATAGAGTTTTGGTTTAGGGTTTGCAAAAATTGGGGGCACCTTTTTGGTGGATATATAGGGGTTATATGGGGTTATATAGCGATGTATAAAGTAGAACTAGGGGCCCCTTCCTGGGGGTTCCTACATAAGGATTACAAGGTATTCAGGTCTATGTTGGGGCCCATTTATTGACAGAAACCACCTAAACCCTAAACCCCTAAACCCTAAACCCCTAAACCCTAAACCCTAAACCCCTAAAACCTAATCCCCTAAGAGCAGTGCAGATCAGCAATCCTACCTTCCTCTCCGTGGGAGGCAAACGCAAAGAAGCTGAAGGAGGCTGGATGTTGGCTTTTGAGCCTAGCGTAGGTTTTAGGGGTTTAGGGGTTAGGGTACAAGGGACTGATTGAGACGGAGTTTCATTGATGTGCAGGGTCCAAGCTCCATTTTAGCGCCTGCCCGGCCATGGAACAATTTTGGGGAAGCAAGACTTGCCCTGGACCCTCCGACCCGGACGAATGGGTATGATGACTTCGAAGGATGATAGGGCCAAAAAACCTCCTAAACGCCCCACCTTTCGTCAGAAAGGATTTGTTCTCGTTGGCGTACCATCACCCCCAAGGCCTTTCGAGACCTTCCATCTACGATCGCGTTTGGACAAGTCTTGAAGACCGAGGAACTCCATTCAGGATACATGCTTTCCCTGTATACGCATTGCGGGTCTCTTCAATATTGGGGCGAGGGCCATAAGCGACTTTGATGCTTCACCTTTCCAAGTTGTGATTCCAGTTCTGAGGGCACCCCACACATGCCGGAGGATGCCAATAATTGATAATGATTTCAAACCCCAAGTATCCGCAAGCCCCCTAAAACCCAAAGCCCTAACCCTACACCCCAATCCCTCAACCCTAAGCCCTAAACCCTAAAACCCCAAGCCCTGAAACCCTGAGACCCTCACACCCTAAGACCCTAAAACCCTAAGACCCTATCGCAGGAGGCCGCGGGTCTGGAGGACGATGTTGCAGAGCTGGCCGCGGGCTCTGGATGACCCATGCAGGTTTAAATGGGTACTTCCCAAAATTGGGGTCTAGGGTATAGGGCTTTTAGGGTTTCGGGTTGAGGGCTTAGGGTTATAGAGGGAGGTTTGGCATTTTGGCTCAAGGACTTATGGGTGTGGGGTGTGGGTATACAGGTTGCAGATGGTTGCAGGTTTGGTTGCGATATTCAAGAGCTACAAGGCAGTGAATGCATCAAAGTGTGGGAGCTTCTCACAACCACCCCTGTGACCAAAACCTAAACTCTTCGCCCTAAATCCCAAACCCTAAGCCCCTTGCCGCAAACCTTGAACCTCCTGAACCCTAAATCCTTTACGCTTAGGGCTTAGGGATTTCTCATGGGCAGCCATCCCTTGTGCTAATCTGAGCTGAGGACAAGTCTGTCCAAGAGGCCGCGTCCCTGTGAGTCCCTGCAGGGCAACTTCTGCGGTTTAGGTTTAAGGTTTAGGGTTTAGGGGTAGGTTGGAACATATCTTTCAATTCTTCTTAACCTCAGGGACATATAGGGATGTGTAGGGACATATCGGGATGTAGAGTAATCCCGTTTCGTCTGGGAGTGTATATAGGGTTCCTTAGGAGTATTGAGTGTAGAATTGATGTGTCCATTCGGCTCAAGAAGTCCTTTTTTGGGACCCCCAAAAAGGCACCCTTAATTTTGGGAAACTGGGAAACACAAACCATGGGACCATTGGTCTTACACATTCAGGAGGGCCCTTGTGGAGATACTGGTAAGACTGGCAGGAATTCCTAAACTTTATAACCCAGACCCGTGATTAATAAACCCCTTCCACTTCATATAATTTATAGTAGGGATCCTAATATTGAGGCTCTTTAAAGGAGGGGGTTTATTAATCATGGGTTTACATTAATCCAAATCCTGCACCCTAAGCACTCCTAAGAAACCTTAAGCCCCAAACCATTAAAAAAGAACATCGCCCGAATGCTACGGGCTTAGGGTTAAGGGCTTAGGGTTTAGGGTTTAGGCCTATGCAGATTGTGATGGTACAAGGCCTAACCCGTGAGCACCCTAAACCCTAAACCCTAAACAGATGGGCCCAAGGCGACCGACCTCAGGGCCAAGGAGAAGGCTAAGAACAACGAGACGGTGACCGATGCCCAGGCCAACTATATGGTTTTCAGAGGGCTTGGTGGGGTAGAGGAAGGTGGGAAATGGGAAATAAGTCCCAACATAATGGAGTATATACTAGGGATTCCTCAACCCACCTAGCTTCATCCCACCTTTTGAGCCCCTTGAGGGTTATGTAGGGGTTGTATGGGGATCCTGTCGTAATAGTGGGAATGCAAAGGGGAACTACTATTTAGGGTTTGTAATAGGTTTTTGGGAGACTGGGTCCACAGAATGGAGGAACAAGTTCGGGCTTAGGGCTTCTCCTCAAAGCTATGGGTTTCCAGCAAAGTTTTGAAGGGGCAAGAAGGGTCGAAGTTTGAAAGCGTGCGAATCCGTTAGAGATGCTGCAAGCAGTTCAGGATGTCATGTGGGAGTCGTACGTGCAGAAATTGTGAGAAAAGGCCTGAGGGCTATGTGCAAGATTAATGGTTTGGTGATCGTTCATGCATGCAGATTGATTGATACCTCGGGTCTAGATCCTCAAGCGGCAGATCTCCAAGAGCTGCTGGATGTTTTCACGAACCTTGGACTCTGCCACAACCGGGTATCGGAGGGGTTCGTCCCAGCTTTTCAAAGGAACAGATGGTGCACCGCCTGCCAATCCTGAAATGTTAGCTGCTGTGATCTGTTCGGCTCCCGAACCTGGCACAAGTACCTGAGACTGACGATGGACGGTTGAGGAGGTTGTCAATCCCTGAATCCTCATTGAGGAAGATGGCGGGCGACCAGATTCGCCCACAAAAGAACCTCGAACCATCATTGAGGTGAACTTTGGTCTCAACGAGGAGCTGTATGCAACCTTCATAAAAGGTGTCTCGAAAAATTGGTCTTCCTCAGTTCCCCTTACACCATAGCATTAGAGTCCATTTCACAAGGACCCACCAAACTTGGCCCCTCATTTCTGGATAGCCCCCCTAACACGTGGCTGAAGAACAGCCCGCTGTTGCGATAATGTCAAAGCTTGCGGAGGCTGCGCAGGAGGCCGTGGCGCAGGCAACTTCGGTGCTGAAGGCGCTGTTACATGCATGAGGGTTTAGGGTTTAGGGTTTAGGGTAGGGTTTAGGGTTTAGGGTTTAGGCCCAGAACCCTAAACCCTAAACCCATAGCCGGGCAAAATCCTAGAGTCTCTTCTACTTGCTATTGTGAAGAACATTCGCGTTTCGTGATATACCTACTTAGGAGAACATGAGCAACCCCGAGCCATCTGCATCCAGGGAGTTCCCCAAATTGGGGGGGGGGGGTAATTTTGAAGGGGTTTATAGGGGGATCTATAAGGGTTATATAGGGGGTTATATAGGGTTTAGGGTTTAAGGTTCCCAAAATTTTGGGTACCTTTTTTTGGGTCTCTATAGCAAGGGTTACGGTGTTTTGGGATTTATTTTGGGGCCCCATAGCTAGGGAAAGCACCATTGAAGCAACCTCCATCCCAGTTTCCAGTATCTTCTTTTCCATGTGTTTCCCCGTTTTGCTGTATACCCCTATATGTCCAAAACCCTAAACCCTATAAACCCTAAACATTGAAGCTTTGCAGCTTCCAGGCCTTCTACGAGAAAGCGGGCCAGGCAAGCCACTGCATCGTAGAAACTAAATCGCCGTTTAACATAGGCGCCTAAATTACTAATATTATGGTTCCATATTCCTTATATGATTATGGTCTACGGTACCTCAAATGGACCTCAAAATGATATTGGTAATTATTTAGGCCCCTGCAATCGGCTTTAGGGTTTGGGATATGGGGGCCGTATAGTGATTGTATGGGGTCATTTAGATTTAATAGAGGTTCTATATATATATATATACACACACATATTTTTTTTGTAGGGTTTAGGGTTCAGGGCTTTAGGCTTTAGGAATTTTGGGATCTGAGGGCATCGCTGAGAGGATTTTGGTGTATAATCCCGACCCCTATAATATCAACCTTAAAATTCGCGCGGTAGTCATAGGGTTCTAATTTTTTGGGGTTTGGGTTAACCCAAAATCCTTTCAGTGGACATAAGACTACATTGATCAGCTTACCCAAAAACCTCAGCGAGCGCTTGCTTGGCTGTAGGGTGTATAGGGCTTAAACAGGGTTGATATAGGGTGAATAATGCGCAACCGAATGGAAAAGAACGTGGAACATAGTATTGAAACTTCGCACTGCTCAAACTGGTTTCCGCGTGTGAGACGCTGGAAGAAATCCTAACCCCTAAACCCCAACGCCCCGATGGAAGACGTTTAGGAAGCTTGATGTTTCGTCTTGAGTTCCATTTTTTTCGATTTCTTTCCCAAAGAGTTGTAACGTCTTGGCGACAAGCCCCGGAACTTTTACAGTTTAAGGTTTGGGGTCTAAGGTTGAAATGCTCGATTAGTCGTGCAACCTAGTATATCAGTTGGATGGAAGGCATCGTTTCAAAGACATGCTTTTTGCAGCAGTAATACTGTACACCTTGACTTTAACACAACATCAAAATTTTCATCTGTTCCATTCCCTCATTTTTGCTCAGCAATACCTTGAACCCCTTGACCTTACAGTAATACAGTAGTAGGCTACTAGTAGTTTCGATTTTTTTCCATTCCCTCACTCCCTGCTAAGCACCTTGTGCTTTCCGAAGCATCAGGCGACGGCCCTCGTGCAGGAAGGTACTGCGAAGGCACAGATCGCACGGCATGATGAAAACCACACCTAGAGTTTAGGGTTAAGGGAATTTTCCAGCAATCGGGGTCCTTTTCTAGGAGCCCCCAGAATCAGGATAATAGGTTATAGGGTATAATATAAGATGATTCCTTAAACGTCCCGGCATACACCTGTGTAAGTTCGCGTGCATATTCCTTTGCTCTCACCTAGACCATGCAAACTGGTGAGAGGCGACTTCTTGTTAGGGCTGTGGAGTTGTAGTTTCTGGCGCGGGCCCTCATTTCCAGCACCTGTTTGGTGCAGCACAGCACTTCAATAGAGAGACTGGGAACCCCAAACAGGGAAGCCCAAGAATATAGTAGGAATATAATAGGAATATACCTACCAGGGTCCTGATGTTCTATTATATTCCTAGTATATTCTTGGGGTTCCCTCTTTGGGGTTCCCAGTAGAGTCATTTTATTCAATAGAGAGGCTAGACATTTGAACCCCACCTTCCCCCATTCTCGCCCTGGTGTGAGGCATCCCAGACGTCGGGAGCTTGGGCAGTGCAAAAAGGGTTTGGGTTTTGGGTTTAGGGATTCGGGATTAGGGTTTAGGGATTAGGATTTGCTGTGATGTTGCCGTGCCGGATGTGATGATCAGGTGTCGATGATCCTTCAAGTGCATGGCTGCATGCGAGGTGCTGCCATGGCCTGAATGTAGAAGGCCATCTAACACAATCACCCACCCCACGCCGTCTGAGGCGGCCAAACCACCCAAACCTATTCCTTTTAGGGTTTAGGACCTAAACTCAGTTAGGTCCATCTTGGTCAACAACAACACCTCTTC